TACACAATGTATATACACATAGGTCATATACACAATCAATCAATACGTAACGTTAATGTATTCTATCAACCGTCATACTCTATGACATATCCAATTGATTAGTTTTAATTTGCCTAATCATCATGCGTTGTCTACAACAATTAAAACTATCCTTCACCAGTAGCCCAAGAAATTATTTCTAAACAGATAATAAAAGCTCCAACAGATAAAATATCAATGTTTTCAAAAGTGAGCGATTAATAAATCCAACTCCACTATTCTACTATATAATGAGCCAATTTCATTATTTCCAACTCAATTCCATATATCCATAACTTTCGCAAATTAATTCTACTAATTAATTTACATATAAATTAGGGCTTTCTTCCTCATTTCTCAATATTAACCCAAAGGTTTAAATATCAACAACCAACAACAATAACACCACTTTGAAACCCAAAATACATATTTAAGAATCAAAATGACAAAACCCCTATTTATACTTTTTGAAACCCTAAGTCCCAAAATCAACCATTTAACAAAATGCCCAAAAATCTAGGTTAAAACCCATAGTAGTGAGTAGGAATCCCTACCTCAAAAGATGACACCCAACAAAGAAGATGACGAAAACGAAGTTGCTCCAAATCACAAGTTTCTCGGATCAAAATGTAGCCCTCGACGATCAACCCAACTTTTACAAAGGCCAAAGGTGAGGAGACAACTCTTACTAGATCAAAACCTAGAGAGAGAGCAAGGTTCTAGAGAGAGAGGCTCTCAAATGGCGTTTTGGAAAAGTAAGAGAGAGAGTGGGAGTGTAGAAAATGATTCAAAAATGCCCAGCTGCCCTCTGTTATACGACATTCCCGCTCGAGCGGAAAACACAACGTTCGAGCGTCAAGAACAAAAAACTAGGTCCGCTCGAGTGCAAGAAATCCCGCTCGAGCGCCAAGACACAAGAATAAAGTACATCCGCTCGAGTGCGAAAACCAGTCCACTCGAGCGCGAAAACCAGTCCGCTCGAGCGTAGATTTTCATCTCCCAAAACTTTTCAGAAAAAGAACTACCCGTTCAAGCTCCAACAAGCCCGCTCCAGCGCGACCCGCTCCAGCGCAGTAAACCCACTCGAGCGTAGAAAACACACCTGCAGAAGTTTTTGCAGGGACAAGAAATACTGGAAAGGTGTAAACCACGCTCGAGCGCAGAATGACCCGCTCGAGCGGACTATACAAAAACTGGGCAACAACAATGGGAGCCAAAGCTCCACCAACCTGTAACAACCAAGCCCAACACAACCTATAACCCAAACAAATAGAATCAAAGGACGACAACAAGGTAGATACAACTACCAGCTCCACGGAACCAAAGTCCGGAATACAACAGATACAGAAAGGGAAAATCGGGATCGCTATAGCTCTTGTCTTCTCAGACCTAATCATCTAGGCCGAGATAATGTCTTCTAAGATCTGGGATTTTGGATCTGGAATCCGGGATCTGAGCTATTTGTCTTCTTGGACCTAATCACATAGGCCGAGATAATGTCTTCTAGGATCTGGGATCTGGAATCCGGGATCTGCTCACTTGGGCTGAGCTCTTGTCTTCTCAGACCTAATCATCTAGGCCGAGATAATGTCTTCTAGGATCTGGGATCCGGGATTTGGAATTCAAGATCTGAGCTCTTGTCTTCTCGGACCTAATCACCTAGGCCGAGATAATGTCTTCTAGGATCTATGATCTGGGATCTAGAATCCGAGATCTGCTCACTTGGGCTGAACTCTTGTCTTCTCGGACCTAATCATCTAGGCCGAGATCATGACTTCTAGGGTTTGGGATTTGGGATCTGCTCACTTCGGCTGAGCTCTTGTCTCCTCGGACCTAATCATCTAGGCCGAGATCTTGTCTTCTAGGATCTGGGATCCAGGATCTGGATCGTGTCTTCTGGGCACCAGTTTTGGTTGTTGGTGCCGACATGTCCTGTAATGGGGATGGTCGGTTACATCACGTTGTTCTACATCATGAGGTTGACCACTCTCTGTAGATTTGTCAACATATTTGCTATGTTTTTCAGTTTTCTCGTATTTTCTCCGGCATCTGTCCCTCTATACCTGAAGGTCCCTTTCACAGTAGTACTCATCTCGGCTACTCTTCTTGTTCCCTTCCCGACCTTTGGCGACATTATTCGCCTCAGGATTCATTTCTTGCACTTTTCCGTTATGGTCCCTTCCTTCAGTGTTAGGATCTACAAGCTCCTCTTCCTTACTGTGGATGTCATCCCCAATCCTCACTTCCTGTTTGTTGTTGGCCATCTATCCTTACTAAGTTCCCACAGACGGCGCCAAATTGTGCGTGTTGATTTCCGACCACACAACCAAAGGGGGAACTCAGCTGGAGAGCACCGGCAGAATAGATTAACCCCGAACAACTTGTCACAAAAAGATAAGAATCCGTCAGTGGTTCATCCGCCCGGAGGCACTCCGACGCTCAAGTCAGTAATCAAATATCTCTTAAAGATAATCAATAGTGCTTAACTCACTAGACAGAACATAAAAAACATACCTTAGACCCATGGGGTTGCCTCACTTTTATAGTGGTCAGTGTCCAACTTCCCCTAGAAATCTTACTTCAAAGAGCTCTGTCTTTTACAAGGATAACATCTATCACAACTCACACTATTCAGATTAAGATGAACTTTCTCAAGAGTCTCATCTCTATCCAAATAGGTAGTTTGATGTCATCTAGGACTCTAGTCCTCTATCCAAACATCTCAGATTCTGGTATTATTGCACCATATCTCGGCATCATGGTCCGCCTATGTGGTACCTCGGCTAACAACCTCGGCCACGTGGACTATCCAAAAATATGTCCCCACAGTAGTTGTAGCAATTAACTTGATGATTCACCTAATTTCTTGCTTGTGAAATTAACTTGGAGTATCATCTGTCCATTTTTTTTTTCAAAAATAAATAAATAAATTCCTTTACATTGGTTAAAAAAATTCTTCCTGAATGAGACTCAAGCTTGAGACACTTCCTCACACAAAGAAAGCATTATAATTTTTTTCAAGTAGGCCAAATGCCAATTGTGGATGGCTATATTTTCTAATTTGTGTTTATTGTGTTTTTTTTTTTTTGATTGTTGCCTATATATCAATTAAATTGGCTTAGTAAACCTTTGATAGATTGAAACTGAAAATGAGCGATACTATTTCTTTTGCAATAGAATTGCTTCAAGTGATGTCACTTGGCTAGGCGAGTAATAAAAGTTTAAAGACATGTTTGAGAATTTTTGGAGACTACTTTGTAATTTATTTCTGTGGAGTTTTACAGAGAACCTAGCTTAAAGGATGTAGTGCATCCTTACTTACATTAAGGCATTTAGGTCTCTTGATAGAGAGGAATCTGGATATATGGCATCTAGATTGTAGTGCCAATTTGCAAGTTCTTTTTTTCTATTATTCACTTTGGCTATGTTTTCATATAAGAATCTTGCTAGTAAAGAGTTTATAATTATGTGAGTTGACTTGAGTTGTGATATTCATTCATTAAGGTTAAGTAAAAAGTATAATAAAAAACTGGGTTGTGATATTCATTGATTGAGGTTAAGTAAAAAGTATAATAAAAAACTTAATAGTTGCTTATAGAACTCTGAAAAAACTTATAAAAAATTGGGTTGTCAATATGTTTTTGGACTTGTGCTGTTTTCAAATTTGAAATACAACCACTACTTTGAACTTGTGCTGTTATCATAACCCAATCTGCTAGCTTGCTGGATAACAACATTCATTGATATAATACCTTCGTACCTGTTAATGGTGCTGCATGTTTTTGGACTTGGCATCAACATGGATTGTCCTGAGGCTTATTAGGGATGGTTTTGAAGCCTCTCTCTGTAGAACTTCCTGGCCTGCTACCATTGGTCGCCCTTCAGGTCTCTTTCTCTCTCTCTCATCTCTCTCTCTGTGGATTTTGGTAAGGACCCATTTCTGATATGTGTGGTGTTGTGTTCATGAAATGTTTGAATTTACAGGTGATTATGAATATATAGATGTTTTGATGAAGGACAGCAATGGTGGTGGTGATGAAACAGTGAGGTTGATAGTAGACATGGATTTCAGGTCTCAGTTTGAGCTAGCAAGGCCTATTTCAACATACTCAGAGCTCACAGCTTCTCTACCTTCCATATTTGTTAGGAGTGAAGAGAAACTAATGGAGATAATATGTTTGGTTTGCTTAGCAAATAGCATCAACAATTTTCTCAAGATTACTCAGAGATGGAACTTAGATTTGGTTGTATTGTTCAGCTACTGCCAAATTTAGGGGATGTTTGTTATAGCTTTTTGTTTTTTGAAAAGAAAAAAAAATTAAAATCACGAAAACTTGTTTAATAGAAAATATTGTTTTCGTGTTCCTATATGAATTGTTGAGGCTGTGCCTCAAAGTTCTGTTCTTTTATTGTTACCTTTAAAAAAGAAAAAGTTTTGATGATTTTTCTGGCAATTATCCATTTTAATGTCCTCTAGTTGTTTCTCTATTTTATTTTATTTACTAATTTTGCTCTCATCACAGGCCTATCCAATTTGATCAAATAGCATTCAGGTTATAAAGTATAAATAAGAAAAGGAAACGCTATGTATGAACCATATATATCTTATAATTAAAAAAAAAAATTAATTTAATTTTTTAAATCATAATTGAAAAAAAAAAGAAAAAATATTATAATTAAATACAATATGAGGTATAATTAAAGAAATTATGAGTAAGGGCTAGGCTTCTCTTGTGAACTCAATATTAAAAAAAAAATGACATTTTTATTGCAATGACATGTTTTTGTTCCTTTGTGCACTCAATATTAAAATTAAAAATAAAAAAAATTGAGGTGACGAAAAAATGTACCAAATTAGGTACTAATTATATTAACTTCCATTAATGAAATAACTTTTTTAAAATTTAAAGTGAAGTAAATGACAAAATTACAATTTTTATGTTCATAATGACAAAAATAACAATTACACAGTAAAAAGTTATTTTACAGGTTATTTATTAAACACTACTCTGCTGTTTAAATCCATAATCCCACAGTTGCACCAAACAGGTTACCAGCTTATGTTCACAGCTGTAAACTATAATTTATAATCACTTTCCCACATCTCTACCAAACAGGGCTATTAAAAGATTTAAGGGTTTCAATTTTGTCATATACAACACTCCTCATTCCCAAATTACAATCTCTAATATACAAAAGTAAAGGGAAAATTACACTCACCTCTCTTAAAAAAAATAAAAAAAATAAAAATTCACACTTTTAACATAATTATACTGATATTTTTTTTGGTATAGTTAAAATGACTAAAATTAATGCAAATGATACACTGAAATAAATATACATTTTAGTTGACAATAGATAAAAATATTATTTTATTTTTATGCAAATGACAAACAAATTATTGACGAAATCAAAAAAAAAAAAAACTGAGAAGGGAAAGGAGAGAAAATTCTAGAGCCTACTGAACTTGACTGACTCGTATAGGTCTGCAAATCATTTCAAACAAAAGACGCAGGCCCAGCCCAAGACCAAGCAGAAGCATGGGTTGTGGGTTCGCAGGCTCAAGCCCAAGCCAAAACCAAGCATTGCCCTGTCAAGTCCATACCTTTCATCTCTTTTGGGTAAACAACATTTTGGATTTTTTTGTTTGATAATTTTTCACTTTTGGTTCTACACTTTTTATATTTTATTTTTTTAATATTTTAAAAATTAATTTATGATTAAAATTAGTAGAAAATACATATTGACAATAACTTGACATAAAAATAATAAATTATATATAATATGAAAACTCAAATTCTTGTCATAAAAATGTGATAACTTATATGATAGGTAATAATTAAATATTACAAAACTTATAATTGAGTATGATATATATTCCAAAATAGAAAATAGAGTATGTATTATAAAATTATTCTTTTTAAAATAATAGGACCCCCCCCCCCCCCCCAAAAAAAAAAAATTAAGCATCAAAGTAGAAAAGGCAATTTTTAAGTGTGTAAATGCATATTATATATATTTATGTAAATTCTCATAAATATATGTATATTAATTCATAAAATAATATATATTTTTATAAAAAATAAAAGTTAATCTATAAAAAATTAAAAAATTACTTATAAAAATTTATACAATTTTATAAAATAACTTTTGTATATTAATAAAAACTTATGCAAGTGGATATGGTAAGCACACTAAAACACATACCAAAACATTTTGGTGCCGTTTGGTAACACTTACGTTTTTAATTTTTTGTTTATATTTATAAAAATCTAAAAAACTCAAATAAAAACTTGTTTGGTAAAATTTTTTATTTATAAATCAGTGGTCTCAGTTTATAAATTTGGCCAAAAAATGAAAACACAAAAAATGTGTTTCCATTTTGAGTTTTCAGTTTTTTTTTTTTTACCACCCAACACTAGCCACCACCCACCACCATTTTCTACCACCACCCACCTGCCACCACCACTCACCACCCACCTACCACCACCACCACCCACTCGCCACCACCACCCCCTCATCCGTCACCCACCTGCCACCACCACCCACTACCCGCCACCACCACCACCCACTCGCTACCACCCACCACCCGCCACCGTCACCCACCCACCCACTCACCCGCCACCACCCACCACCACCGCCACCGTCACCCACCCATCCACCACCCGCCACCACTCGCCATCCGCCACCCACTTGCTACCACCACTCACCACCCGCCGCCACCGCCACCACTACCCACTCGCTATCACCCATCACCCGCCACCGTCACTCACCCATCCACCCACCGCCACCACCCACCCACCACCCACCGTGACCACTTTCCACCACCGTCTTCCACCGTCACTTGACACCACTTGCCATTTCTCACCATTTTTTTATATTTTTTAATTTTTTTAAATATTTTATCAATTACCAAACGCGTTTGTAGTTTATATTTTTTTAAAAATAAACAAAAATCGATTTATAAAATTTTTATAAACGTAAACTAATAACGTAACCGTTACTAAACACACCCTTTCCAATTAAAAAAATGGGGCAAAGAGTAATTTACCCAATTTTTATCAGGACAGAGAAAGGCAGTAGAGAGCAGAACATATAGTAGTGATAATGGAGAGCATTCAACGATTCACTCACCATCTCCTTCCCATGCCCATCTCCAGAAAATGCTTCAAAACCCCAACAAACTTTCCATTTCAGAGAACGCCACTAACCCGCTTTCATCAAACCCTAAATACCATCTTTAAATCCGAATTCTATTCCCCTAAACCCATTTTCAATGTTGGGTTGATAACAAGAACAAGAAGAAGAAATCACAGCTCTCCTTCAACAGCTCAGGCCGGTTGGTTTCTGGGTTTAGGAGGAAAAAGGCAGCAGATGCTTCCCGAGATTGTGAAGGCCGGTGACCCGGTTCTTCACGAGCCGGCCCGAGAAGTCCTGCAAGAAGAAATCGGGTCGGATAAGATCCAGGAGATTATTGATGATATGGTGATGGTGATGAGAAAAGCACCTGGTGTTGGTCTTGCTGCTCCCCAGATTGGTGTCCCCTTGAAGGTTTGTTTGAATTTGCAAAATTACCCATCAATCAAAATTCTCTGTTCAATGCATTCACTGTGTATACCTTTTGAGCATGTTTGTTTGTACACACTGGATAAGGGTATTGTAATCTATCATACGGTTAGTTGTGATAGATTGTCCCAGACTATTTGGTTGGAAGATTTATACTTAGGTTTGTTTGGTCATGGATAAATGTTAAAAATGCTATTTTATCTTTGTAATTTATAATTTTTATTTAATATATAATTTTAAATTAACAACACTAAAAAAATAATTTAATTTAATATGTAAATTTAATTTTTTAACAACACTAAAAAAATTTAATTTATAAGGCCATAATTTATAATTTATTATTTTTAATTAAATTAAATTTATAATAATTAAATTTGTTTATTTAATATATAATTTTATATTAACAACACTAAAAAATTAATTTATAAATGTTCAAAAGACTATTTTACCTTTTTGTAATTGTTTATTAAGTAATAGCATGAGGGTAAAATTGACATTTCACATATTAATCTCATGGATTACCAATCCCATGGAAATAATCCCACCCCCAGGATACAATAATCCCTCGTATGAGGACTAATAGTCCAGAGAGACTATTAGTCCAGAGAGACTATTACTCCGGAGCAAAACATTGAACCAAACAAGGCCAATCCATGGCCCAATCCTTTAAAACGAACACCACATTTGTGCTTTAATGGGAAAATGCCGCATTGCGATATTGGAGTTAAAAAGAATTACGCTCCACTTGGATGGATGCAATTTGGATGGATTCAAAAAAAAAAAAAAAATTGTTTTTTTTTTTTTTTTGCAAAAAGAAACTAAAGGAGAAGATAAATTAGAGATAGAAGACAAGTATTTTATTAGGATCCTTGTAGAGCTAGGAACACTGATCCATTAGTGTAACAAAAACAAATTCCTAACAGAAAACATTTTTCATGGTCAACAAAAAAATATATATATATATATTTGGGTGAAAAATAAAGGGTATGTTTGGTTTGTGTTTGAGAGATGTGTTTTAGAGATAAAAAGTACGAAAACATGTTTGGTTTGGTTTTTTTTAAAAGATGTTTTGGAAAATTATTTTGAGATAGAGTTTTGGAAAAAGTGATTGATTTGATGTGTGTGAGAGAGAGATTTGTTTGGAAAACTTGTTTGGTTTACAAGTTTTGGGAAATTTTTTTGGAAAAATTTGTTTGGTTTGGTTATTTTTGAAAACTTATTTGTAGAGAAAATTTCCCAAATTTTTTTCAGAAAATCAAACCAAACGAGCCCTTATGAATGTCACCACATTACTACAACCCTAGCCACAGCCGCTGTCACATCACCACCACTAAATTCAAGATGAAGCGCTCAAATCCAATCTTGAAATCTATTTTTAAATTAACAAATCTAAATTCAAGCTATTTTTGTTGGAATGAGTAGTGTCAAATTCTTTCATTTCAAATCCATAAATCCAAACACAATCTTAGATTTAGAAATGGTATTTTCCAGCTAGTTTGCACATGTACTATTTTTGCCAATGTGATCACTTTTTACAAGATTGTGTCTCTAGCCATCATGCAGAGCTGGTTTTGAATAACAGATAATTGTTTTGGAAGATACAAAAGAATATATCAGCTATGCTCCAAAGGAAGAAACTAAAGCACAAGACCGACGTCCTTTTGATCTTCTGGTATGTTGCTAACATTCGAAATTGTACATTTTCAGTTGTAAGTGCTGTAGTATAGTTTATCAATTCTTTAACACAGGTTATTGTAAACCCAAAGCTTCAAAAGAAGAGCAACAAAAGTGCATTATTTTTTGAAGGGTGCCTAAGGTAATACGCGGGATACTTCTTATGTTGGAATTTCTTCTTCTTATCAGGAATGTGTTAACCCTTCATTGCTCTTTATTTTGTCCATGACTTATGCTCGTTGGTTGTTTTGGCATAGAGTAAAAATTGGATATTGTGTTCACAACATTTTCAAAGGATGGGTTTAGCCATGAAGAGCTCTAAAAGTAAAGTTAGATGACTTCTTTTTAACTTGGTTTCCATATGTCCCTTGTAACACCCCAATAATTTTAAACCATTTTATAATTACCAATTCTTCATTATTGTCCAATTTCCTGATATAAAGTGGAAATTAAGGAAAATAAAGACAACATTCTCATGAATCATAACGGTCCTCTTTCTCCTTGGGTTTTCTCTCATAAAATTTCATTATGGTATTACATCAGTTATGTGCAAATAAACAATACAAGGTAGTTCAAGAAATAAAAGATATACAACAAAATACCCTAAGGGCTTACACCTTTCAAGGCTAGGGCCTTGATTACGAATAAGTGAAACTCTTTTCCAGAAAAGTAAGCTCGGTAACTGTAAGCACATGAACATCTAAGAAGCTTCAATGCTCCATCAAAAGTCTCCACAAGATCACCAGTAGAGTGGAATCACATTATCAAGACCTGAAATTTGTTTGTCATGGTAGGAATGAGCAATGATCCCCAGTAGAAATACATTTAACAATGTATGTAAATGTTTGATGCCATTATAATCATGTCAATGCAAATGCCGTGCTAAAATCCATTGTTTGCCCTTTTAAAAGAATGATGCTCAATGCACTTTTGTAAATCAAATCCAACGTAAGACACAAGGCAATAAATATGCGTTAGAATCCCAAGAGTCACAATACATATATATACAGATTTTATATCAAAATAGTCTCACATTTACCTGCTCAAACTTGGAAAGACAGTTGGGCACCTAAAATACACGTTTTCCCACATTCTCCGGCCTCAAGCATGGAAAGGGCAATTGGGCACCTTGAAAACAATCCTTTCTCACATTCGTCCTAGGCAGGCCAATTGGGCACCTTGATTCCCCATGCAGGTTACCAACACAACACACAACTCAAATTCCAAAACTGACCCCTCTACCTGGATTACTACGCCATTTACCCCCTTTCCAAGATCCATCACTTAAAAAAACAAAATCAAATGTCATCTCGAGTCAAAATCATGTGATGTAAATGTGATGCATGAGTTTTTGCAAATATTTTATTTTGCCAAAGGTTCAATTCAACCATACAAGAAGAAATCAATAATTTAATAGGCAACTGAAATAATCACAATTGACATAACTCAATAACCTTCGTCATCAACAACAATCTTATAAGAAATCCATACTTTGTGTAGTTCCCATATTTCTAAGTGTTTCACCCAACTCAACTTCATAATTCCTCAATAGTATCGTCATAGATCAAAAATTTATACAACTCCAATATTACCAAAGAATATCAACTTCCCTTTCAACATAAAACATCAATTAGTTTCAATAATCTCTTAAAACAAAAATCCAAAATCTAGGGTTTCAAGAAAATTGAGGGTTTCCTCATTTCTTTCACAAAATCTTCAAATCATTGATCATCAATCATCAATATGTTAAAACATTCAAAACATTTCAAAACTTGAGTGAAAATCCCATTTTACACATCAATATGATTTAAGTCAACAATCTCTAGCTCATACATAACTATAAGTAAGGAAATACCACATAATCACATCAAAACATAGATATACAAAATTAAAGGTATTCCTTGAAGACCCAAACTTCTGCGGCAACAAAATCATGATCAACTTACATCCAAACGTAGCTCTCGACAAGATCTAACTTTTTCCCTCAAGAACTAGGGGTAGATTTAGCCTCTAGGTAGATGAAACCCAAGCTTGAAGCTCTCAACAATGGTGGAGAGAGAGAGAGAGAGAGAGTAACGGTGAGAGAGGAAGAAAAATAGAGAAAAGTAAGGAAAGAGAGAGAAGATGCTTCTATTTATAGTGGGGGGACATAATAGGTGGTGGGGCCCAAGAATACACAAAATATGAAGTTAAAAATCCCAAAAAGTGGGGCCCAAAACGTGGCTGGAAGTTCTAGAGTTTCTGTCAAGTGTCGACACCTTGAAGGGTAGTGTCAACACTTGCGTACAGGGCTACGAAAGAAAAGGTTCAAAACAGGTAAGGTGTCAACACCAAACTCTCCTGGTGTCGACCCTAGAAAGCATAATGCACTAAGATCTAATTCTAGGCCTGATGGTGTCGACACCCTGAGAGGGCGGTGTTGACCCTAAGAAGCGGAATGTTACACAAGAAAGACAAGGTTGCTGATGTCGACCCCAGGAGCTTAGTATCGACACCCAAAACAAATTTCTAAGGTTCTACGGCATAATTTCGAAAAGTCTGAACGTGATTAAACCTCCTAACCAAAGTATAGATCGAATTCCTCACTCAATCAACATCAACATACACCAAACAAGGGATTTCAATAACAAATAATGGAGTTAATTGTATTCCCAAAGGCCTATACCTAATAAGTGTTCCATCCCTTGAATATATGATCTTTTGGAGGCAAACTGTTATCAGCTTCTACTTATAAATTTTTATATATATTTTAAAAATGGGTAAGCTTAGTTAGGTTTCTAGGAAAAAGGGAGGAATATAGAGGAGATACGCGATCAACTCACCTGTATTTGCCAAGAACATCTAAGAGTATGCATCCACATTGGGTGGCATACCCAGCCTTAGGAAACAAGATTCATCCATGTATACGATTGCCTCTAGTTTGTTGGTGTTGAAGTAATATTTTATTTATGTTCCGACTTCCATATAAAAATGAATTATTTTGAAGCTTTGTCATTGTTGCTTTCTTATTTTATTTTCGAAAGTAAGAAAGAGAGAGAGGCGCGCCCACACATTGGATTTAACTTTCCATATTCGATTGCGAATCATCAAGGTCTAGATTTAGTAGTAAATTGTTTTTTTCTCGTAAGTGATTGAATTGCATTTTTATGTTCAAGGGACATATCAAGGGACTATGGAAATCGAAATGACCAAATCTGAATAACCCACATATTGCCAAAATAGACCAATTCACTAAACTTGGAGTCGCTACCTAATTTTTATGGGAAAACTACCCTTAAATCCATATTAATTTTGGCCACTGATTAGTCATCACCAAAAATCTTGGCTTTGAAGTTTAGGTACGTACAAAAGGGGAAGGTCACCTAACCTACCATCCATGATCTGTTACTTAAACTAGAATGCTTCCATTATTGCAACAAGAAACTTTCTAAGAAGGGAATGGAAAGTTTCCTAAAATGAATTTTTTTTCTGAAATTTGATATAGCACAACCTCCAAACATGCAGTTGTCTCAAATAAACACACACAGCAAAAACATTATGGAAACAGTTAATCAAGAAAAAGGGAAGTTAAAATATGTAAGAAAGGGAGGAGGACTTGGCCAAATCTTCAACACAACAAGATTAGGTAAACAAATGCTTGATTCTAGATGTTCCAATTAATGCAAACACACATGATATGTGCCTAAAGATTCGGTACCATACTAAACATGTCATAAATACGCCAAAATCATACTTTTCATGAATGATGAAGCGAATAAATAAAGCCAATAACTGATTTAGATGAATGAAAATATGAATAAAACCGAATCCTAAATTATCAGTCATACTATAAGGCCTAAACTATATGTACAAAATGATTACAAATAAATACTAGCCATTATCAAATACTAGAAACATGATTGCAAAGCAAACAAAATCAATAAATCTTAGGGAAAAAAAGGAACTAACTGCTTTTTTGTTAAATCAACCAAAGAAATCCAAGAAAAACTGAAAAGAAAAGGCCCCTAGGTGCTTCCCTCAGGCAATTAGACTCCCAAAGCATAGTTTAGGCACTCCAATTACCCAAAGACAACCTCTGATTTTTATGGTTTAAGTGGATTTCGAAATTAGGGTTAAGAAGATAGTGTATTGGGGCGACAGTTCTATATTTGAAGTTCGCTCTCCAAAACTAGTGAATGAAGGGTTGTATTTATAGGCCAAGGTGTTTGGAGAGTAAATGATATACACCTGGTGTGCAATATACATCTTCTGCGTTAGTCATCTAGTTCTTTCAACTATTGATGTCCCTTTTCCTTTTTGGCCCCCGTCAGGCCGGTGTGGGGGTGGAGGAATGAAAATGTCTAGCAATGGCTGCAACTAGACATGAAATGTTAAAACATTCCAAAATTTTTAGATAAAAGTTTGTATCATGATTAGCGAGAGAGTAAAAGAAAATGTGGGAAAGAGGGGGAAAAAAAAAAAAACTCAATTTTTTTCACTTTTTTTTAGAGTGAAAGTTGTAGAAATTGCTAGAAATTTAGGCTGTGTTTGGTTGTGATTTCAAAATGTGATTCAATGTGGTAGTTTGAGTATGGTGTTTGGATGGAGCTGTGGAATTAATTTTCCACAGCTCTGCAAAACGCTCTGTTTGTTCTGTCAAAACCGAGCGCGTGTTTCAATTTTTTTTTTCAAAACGGGACGTCCGGCCGGTTGACCGGAATAGTGATTTTTTTTTTTTTTTTTTTTTGCAATTGATATATAATAGAAAAAAATATTTTCTGAAATTTTTAAAATTTTTTGTGCTTTAAAATAATTTTGAGTTGTATGAGTTGTAAATTTTTGTATCAAATTTCAAATGTCACATCAACAATTCCCTACTCAAATCAAAACTATTTTCAAAACTCTTTACCAAACAAATTTTTTACACTCAAATCATAATTCCACAACACCCAAACTCAAAATACAACTCATACTCTCAAATCACATTTACAAAACTCTACCAAACGCTACCTTAAGTTTCCTGTACAACTATCTTTTGCTTGTGAAGTTCCCTTTCCGTTTCTTGCACACAAAAGAAAAAGGTCAAGACTTGATGTAGATTCCCATTTTCTCATAAAATTTTTATTTAATCAAATGCATACAAGAAAATAAATTTGTCTCTTCTTTTCTTTTCTTTCACTTCACTTTGTACCGTCATTCTCTTCCTAATCAAACAGACCCTAAGGTCAGATTTGGATATGGATTTGAAATGAAGGGATTTGAGATCATTCTTTCAAGGAGTATAGCTTTTATAGTTTTTGGCCAAAAAACCACTATAAGTTGTCTCGTCATTCTCTCTATTTTTCTGCATATTTTTTAATAAAAAGTCAAAAAGTCAACTAAAATAGCCAATTCCAAACGGGGCCGTAGTATAGCTTTCAAGAATGGATTTGAGAGCTTTAGATTGATGGATTTGATCCCTTTCTATTTTTTGTGTTGCGATGATTTATTGTGCAGTGTTGATGGATTCAGAGCAATGGTGGAACGATACCTTGAAGTTGAGGTAACGGGTTTGGGTCGTGATGGCCAGCCAATCAAGGTTGATGCTTCAGGCTGGCAGGCCCGCATTTTACAGCACGAATGTGATCATTTGGATGGAACTCTCTACGTTGACAAGATGGTCCCAAGAACATTTAGGACCGTAAAGAACCTCGACTTACCTCTTCCAATTGGGTCCCCCAAGCTGGGCGTTCTTTAGCAGTCGTTCATTTTCGACAGAATTTTTTGGGTGAATTATTTTCGACAGAATGTTGCTTCTGATGAAACAATATCAAACTTCAGTGTTTAATTTAGACCATGTACTATGACATCCCAATATCGTTTGTGTTCCTTTTGTAATCCAGATATATAGATAAAAAGTTCCAAGACTGTCTTGTGCCAATTTGCATTGTTGTTGGTGTCGTTTTATTTATTTGTTATTTTTAAATGTAGAAGAAAGCATCTGTTTCTATTTTCTTCTAGATAACTGGAGCTAGAAAGATACTGAATTTCATATGATGTGATTAACTTCTTTTTCTTCAAAATGCTGCCCAGGGTTTCACTTCCACTCTCTCAGTAGAAGATGCTAAATCCAGTAAATTTGTTTTGGTGAGTTTTGGATTATTGAGCTTTGTTTAATAGGCCCTTTGACCATATTCTATTTGGTAAATTATCATCATACACCATAAACAAATGCTTTATTATCTATTCTATGGAGGTTGACTTTTTAACTATTTTAGTCTGAGGTTAAAAAGCCTCGTTTGAGTTATACTTTTTTGATTTTTTTGACTTTTATGAGAAAAAAAATAAAATGATTATAATTTAAATATGACATTTTGTCTTATTGATTTTTGTCTTTTTGTAGCGGGTTGTTTTGAAAAGTAGGTTAAAAACTAACTTTTTAGCTTTTTTTTGAAAAAAAAATATGTAAAAAAATAAAAAAGAGTCCATAAAATTGTTGACTGATTAATAAAAATGTTACATTCAGTAAATAGCTGCTAATCAATTTTCAAAGCTAACCCATATTTTCCATCAGCAAAGCAAACTATCACAAATTTGAACATAAAATTATACATGCATAGCGTGTGCACCCGTCACTAGTTCCATCATGAGATCTACAACATGATTTTTCACAACAAAAGTGAATTATCAGAAGCAAAATTTCAAACTGATTCACACTCTACTATCTCTATTATGCCAAACCAGCTCTCTATCACATGCTGCTCAACCCAGTCCTTTGCACTCTGTGAATCTCACTTTGAGAAAGTGATGACAGTAGACACATCTATAATGGCATTGGATTTAGTAATTTCTTTTGTTAAACTTAATTGTTACATAAAAAATAAAAATAATTTTTTTTAGGATGACTTGCAAATTAGATAAATACACATTTATAAATGATAATTAAAGTACAATTACATCAATATACACGTGAAATTAAAGAAATTATATACAACAATTATCACAGCATGAAGAACTCAATATTGACCGCCACTGCCATGATCTGTAACGTTTATATGGACTGCATATCGCTATGCATAACTGCAACAGGCGTGTTTAATTGAATTGAAATTTACTCATCTAAAAATGCATAATCATCGTTAAATGGACTGAAGAACAGAGCTAGAAGGAACTTTCAGCCCAATGTAGGTTTCATCGGATGCGAAGCAAGGAGGGGGGTTTATTAGACCTGAACACGAGCCTTGAGCTTCCCAACAAAAGGAACTTGTAGATCCACCAGAGTACGAGTCAAGTTGAATATCTTCTAAATATAAACTTTCACATGGGAAGGTATCACTGCAAGCAAATTTTATAGCTTGCTCTGTTGCCGATGTTCCTTTTATGGCCATGAAGGATATATCCTCAACTTTAACAGCCAAAGTCTGCATTGTCATGGGATAATAGGACTATCAAATTTCCTTTACAGTTATAAATATTCAACATTTTGTGTTATGGACAACTTTCCTCAGAACACATGTTAATAGCATTTGCGAAACAAGTTGAGTGTGTCCAGATGCTGATGAAGAACAAACGTAAACTTTGTATGTTCATAATTTACTATATTTGAAGCTAGGAAGATGTTTAGACGAATGACGTGCTTAGGTACCATTTAGAAACTTTTACAATCTATTATCATTGTTTACAGAAAACATTGAACATGTTTATGTTTATTTTTGATAAAACAAAAACAAAAAACCTATTTGGCACACGTGTTCGAAAAACAAGTGAGAAAGGTGGCCGTTAGGAGGTGATGGCAAAAGTTGGTTGTCAATGGCTGAAGATGATGACCAAAGGTGGTGGTTGGCCACCGGAGGTAGTTTCCGGTAAGTGAGTTCTTGTTTCCCGTTTTCAAAATTTTGGTAAATATAAACATAAAAGTTATCAAATAGGCTCTTCGTTTTGTATTTTTTTAAAACACATGAAGACATAGCAAGTCATTTCCCTTAATATGAAGAGTTGGATCTAACAAAAAGTATGTTTTCTTGTGCTCAAAACAGAGGAGAAGGGTGGCCTAAGTTTTGCAAAAGATAAAGCAATTGATTTTACTTGTTCTTTCTCTAAGTAATTGATTTTATTTCTCAACTTGACACTATACAAGAAAACTTAGGTGTGGATCATATACCTGGTTTTCACATGGAATGGGTGAGTCGCAATAAAATTGATCTATTATTATGGGATTCGAGACATTTTCCATCCACACATTCTGAAAAGCAATCTTCGTGGCAAAACCACTACCTCCCTAATGAAGAAACATCAGCAGAGTGAGAATCGGGTTACGTGGTTAATCAACAATAAATTCACTTCTTATAATAATATTTTTAAGAAAGAAAGACTGCATGATGCAGAAGATTACCTGCCACGTTTTGATCCTCACCCCATTTTCAGTGTTAGACAGAAATGCTCCATCAACACTTACATTGTGCACTTCCACCAATGAGCTTGACTTTCCCAAGCTTCCAATACTAACAGATGAAAATCATCATTATTCAAGTTACTCACTGTGCACATGGCTGCAAATAACTGAGGGTCATGTTTATACTTACCTTATACCATGGCCTGGTCCACAGGAAATGTTTCTGATTCGGATACTCGAAGAATTGCCGACAATAGAGATGCAGTCATCTCCTGAAGCAAGTTTATACAAAAATATCAATTTGATGAAATTTCACAGTTTTATTCAAGAAACGACAACTCTGTATAACCTCTCTCTTTTTTCTTTTTTTTATTGGTCATCTCCATGGATAGATTGGTTTCAAGAACAGAAGAGGAAAAGAAATTAAGGTCAAATAAAGAAATATTTAAACTAGCCATTCCAAAATTGTCAAATCTTAGCCATTCCAACTTCAAAGAAATGAAAATAGAGCATTTCAATATTTTTGTTTTTGTCCTCAACTACTACATAGAATATTAAACTTTTCTCCTTGGCCATTAGTTGCAATATTTCCCTCCATCACTAACCTATGTTTCTCTCTGCTGCATATGATCCTTAAAAATATGTTACTTATAGAGCTGAAATTGCATTTCATTTCTTTTCCTATGAAGTCCTGTTTATGTTCATGTTGTGGGTGCCTTTATAATACCAAGCTCCACATAACCAACTCAACCCTTTATTGGAATTGAACTGATAAACTCTGAAACACCAAGTAATCATCAGAAAAGTTTGGTGCACATTGAAAATATCAATAAACAAGAAAAACATGGTATAGAATTTCCTTTCTTCCTCGGTGCAATATTTCATCAACACATAACCCTTCAAACATAACAAGTATTAACTGCGTGCAATTTTAAGAACAGAACAATTGCGATTGAGCAGTCAATATTTCTAGGAGTCAACTAACCTGTTCTAACAATACTTTCCTTGACTTCAACAAGAGTAGATGCGCTAATGTGGATACCATCAGTGTTGGGGCTAGACCCAGGTGCCAGCACTTTTAGACGTGATGCTGCAACACGAACACAGCTAGTAAATGCCAAGTGCATTTGTTGACTGTTTACCATCATAAGATTCCTGATTCTCAAATTCTTGCATCTATGAAAAGTCAAGGCCTGCAGTTTAATCGATTTAACAAATCAAGATCAGGAAAACCATTGAGTGGAGGTAATATCTTTATGATCACAATAGCAAAGCAAAGATAGATGAAGCAGATCCATGGAATCGACTGCAGTGCCTGGAGAACAAAGCAGCACTAACCGTAGGAGCATGTCGACATGGCTGCCAAAATAAGGGTGGAGGCAAGTTAGTTTAAAATATCAGACAGAGGGAAAAAATTACAAAGAAACTAAGAAGCACAGTCACTTCTATGAAGTTCTAAGAAGGTAACATGTCATGTCCAATACTGACATAACACAACACTCGTTAGACACTTCCCAACACTTAAGACACATAAAAGACATTACAAGTTTGAATAAAAATTACTTGGAATCTAATAATAAAACAAAAAAATATATATAAATTTATACATATTCTCCTCCTTCAAATTTTAAAAATTATCATTTGACTTAAATATTCATATATATGACATATAAGTATTTATTTTTATATATGACACATAACAAATATATATAATTATATATTTTGCATGTGTCCCCCACATGGCGTGTCCTACATTTTTTTGAAACTTTTGGTGCGGGCATGTCCATGTCGTGTCTGTATTATGTCACATATCCATGTACGTGCTTCTTAGCAAAAAAATATGTCAAGGATGCAAGACAGCAAGCAATACATTTGTTTTGTTGATCTTGCAAGACTGAGACCACCATTCCTGTCCCATCCCATCAATTATCCCCCCTCCTTCTACAGTCAGGTGGTTCACCCCATGGAAATAGAGCCACTTACGTGGATTCAAGCCATCCCAGACATCAGGATCTTTGGGAGCAACGATAGTACCAGAGATCTATAGAAATTGCAACACCAATCAACTGATTAAATCAAAAATCCACAGGCCAATATTTCACAAATGACTGGTTGTATACATTTCTAAGTAGAAGTGAGTTTATAGGAAAATGCTGTTAAGTAATTTAATGTTTGGCTCATACCCTCAATGTTATCTTTGATCGGCAAGGGCCAGCAAAATCAATAGGTCGGACCAGGTAGGTGTGTCCCACTGGAACTACTATTTTTGGTCGTGATGATAAAGAACAAGCAACCTTCCAAACATCTTTGAGAGCCTGAAAGCATAAGCATAGCATGACATCAGGAGATGGTTTCATTTCAACAGTTCCTAAGATTAATAACAAAAAATAAATAAATAATTACCTTTCTCTTCATTTGGTTGGTAAGAAGACAAAAGGAAAGAAAAATTGTAATGTTACATTGTTTTTATAAGCCTTTTATTAAACAAAATGGCTCAAGTGGGCAAACAAAACTATTATCTTATAGTAAGGCATCCTAAAACCTTATAGTTCAATTTGTAGCGAGGCTACGCTTACAATTTGTTTTGGTAAAGTTACACATTTTGTGCATATGATATGCACCACACTATAGCATTTCTCATTTCAAAAACAAAAACAATAAAAGTTCGAAAACACCATCATTTTAATTTTGTGCAAAAATAGTTTTCAAAAATTAAAAAAACAACTAAAATCTAAAAAATTGATTATCTAATAATAAATTCCTGGAAAGCAGTTTTTGAAAAATTAAAACACCAAACAAAAACACAACCAAACAATACAGATTACAGTTCATAAAATATGATTTTCATTGTCAAATTCAGACTATCCATTTCTAAATCAGACCACAAGCATAATTAACAGCTTGAAATGCAGTAGTTACATATGATACATCTATATCCATGCATATAAACAGAGAGCTAGAAGGAGTAGAACAAGTTTTGGGTATGTAATACCTCAGTGTCATCGTTGAAATTATGGCCTTTTGCACCATAATCAGTGACATAGAGAACTTTTTTCGATCTGGGTCGGTGTCTAGAACCCCCAGAGTGTGGGAGCTGTATCAGAGAATCAAACCCCTCGACATTTGTGAAATTTGAGAACAAATACATGTAATATATACAACAAATAATGGTAAGAGTTGAAGATGAAGAAGAAGAATTAGAAGCAGAGGAAGAGCTCAGCTTGCCCATTATCTCACACTGTTCCACAGGCTGGAAAGGGGGGAGAGAGAGAGAGAGAGAGATCGATCTTCGGATAATTCAGTTTGGACTGTGGAGATGTTCAAATCATTTTTATTTTGCGGGAATTAGGCTATGTATGGCATAGGATATGAGTTTAGACAAAATAAATTTAAAAATTGATAAACTATAAATACATTTATTGAAATTTATTTAAATTACAAATTATTTCGTGTGATTTTAAAAATTACATTATGCTCATTAAGATTTTTGATTTCATAATAAATAGGTCATTTTATTAATAAATTATTAAGTTAATTAACAATTTTTAATAATGTTAAAATTTTATTTCAATTAATAATTCAAATAATTTTATAATTGTATAGGTGAACAGTTAGAAATTTTACTTTTTCAATTAATTCTGTTAAATAAAAAATTTTGACGGGGAGGTATTTGTAATTTTCCAAACCACAGAAACAATTCGTATTTTAAGCAAACCTCAAGGGGTGTATATAAATAAATAATTACCTTTCTCTTCATTTGGTTGGTAAGAAGACAAAAGGAAAGAAAAATTGTAATGTTACATTGTTTTTATAAGCCTTTTATTAAACAAAATGGCTCAAGTGGGCAAACAAAACTATTATCTTATAGTAAGGCATCCTAAAACCTTATAGTTCAATTTGTAGCGAGGCTACGCTTACAATTTGTTTTGGTAAAGTTACACATTTTGTGCATATGATATGCACCACACTATAGCATTTCTCATTTCAAAAACAAAAACAATAAAAGTTCGAAAACACCATCATTTTAATTTTGTGCAAAAATAGTTTTCAAAAATTAAAAAAACAACTAAAATCTAAAAAATTGATTATCTAATAATAAATTCCTGGAAAGCAGTTTTTGAAAAATTAAAACACCAAACAAAAACACAACCAAACAATACAGATTACAGTTCATAAAATATGATTTTCATTGTCAAATTCAGACTATCCATTTCTAAATCAGACCACAAGCATAATTAACAGCTTGAAATGCAGTAGTTACATATGATACATCTATATCCATGCATATAAACAGAGAGCTAGAAGGAGTAGAACAAGTTTTGGGTATGTAATACCTCAGTGTCATCGTTGAAATTATGGCCTTTTGCACCATAATCAGTGACATAGAGAACTTTTTTCGATCTGGGTCGGTGTCTAGAACCCCCAGAGTGTGGGAGCTGTATCAGAGAATCAAACCCCTCGACATTTGTGAAATTTGAGAACAAATACATGTAATATATACAACAAATAATGGTAAGAGTTGAAGATGAAGAAGAAGAATTAGAAGCAGAGGAAGAGCTCAGCTTGCCCATTATCTCACACTGTTCCACAGGCTGGAAAGGGGGGAGAGAGAGAGAGAGAGAGATCGATCTTCGGATAATTCAGTTTGGACTGTGGAGATGTTCAAATCATTTTTATTTTGCGGGAATTAGGCTATGTGTGGCATGGGATATGAGTTTAGACAAAATAAATTTAAAAATTGGTAAATTATAAATACATTTATTGAAATTTATTTAAATTATAAATTATTTCATGTGATTTTAGAAATTACATTATGCCCATTAAGATTTATGATTTCATAATAAATAGGTCATTTTATTAATAAATTATCAAGTTAATTAACAATTTTTAATAATGTTAAAATTTTATTTCAATTAATAATTCAGATAATTTTATAATTTTATAGGTGAACAATTAGAAATTTTATTTTTTCAATTAATTCTGTTAAATAAAATTTTTTGACGTGGAGATATTTGTAATTTTCCAAACCACAGAAGCAATTCGTACTTTAAGCAAACCTCAAGAGGTGTATTTATAATTTATCTTTAAAAAATTAATAAAACAAAATATCACATCTAAACTATAATGATTCATTTTTTCTCTCACAAAATTCAAAAAAATTAAAAAGTTCATTCCAAATAAGCTTTTTTAGCCTCAGACTAAAATAGTCAAAAAGAATTAAAAAAAACCAAAAAGTCAATCCACATCTCAAACGAAAGCTTAGTTAACAATTAGGCATTTAAAAAAAAATAATTGTGATAGAGACCCCACATATGCATGACCCCCATAACCCCTCACTCTCATTCCAACCACTCATAATGTGGGGTCCACACATACATAAGTAGACCTCACACACACATCAAGGACCAAGATCAAATTGGAAGTTATGAAACCCTCAAAAAAGAAGTCGCAAACATTTCTGGAAAAAAAAAAATACAAATATCGAAGGGTGCAAGTAAGGCCTGGTTTGGCATGTCTTGAAAAAGACAAAAAGTCAAAAAATTACTTAAAAATCACGTTGATCGTATATCGCTAATTATATGATCAAATCAGTTTTGTATAAAAAAAAATGGATGGTGTTATAGTTAACTGGTGAACAAAAACTAATCCGATCAATGTAATTTCGATATCCGATCAATATGATTTTTTACAGGCATATAGTACTCGACAAATTCTACATATTGAACAGTTCAGATTATAATGGGACTCGTGATAGGCCCCATGAGCCGAACAGCAACGTCCAAATAATTGCCCGCGAAGGAGGCAATCATGTCCTTATCTCCTATACTCTGTCCAGAAAAAGTGTCGTATAGCCTATTACACTTACTTCTCCTATACACTTATTTATACAATTTTTTATTACATATTTTTTCGTAAAAAAATAAAAAGTTAACCCAAACACTCATCTTTTTTTTCCTCAACTTTTTAGTCTAAAAAGATAAAAAGTACATTTATTTAGGACACCCCCAAAACAACCACTTGCATTTGACAAATTTTCACTTGTACAACCAAACATATTTATTTGCAACCCCTCATGTTTATAAAAAAAATTTATGCTCCACTGTCAAGTAATTTCTCCTTTTATTTTTAATTTTTGGCACATGGTTTTGTCTTTTTAATTTTTTTTCTAATTTTATAAAGATTTGATAAAAGCTAAATGGGGAATCAATTTTTTTTAATAAAAAAAATTGGATCAAGAAATTATGAGAATCGGCGATGCAATAAGTGAAGGAAGAATGTTAGGTAAATTGAAAATATAAATAATTGAAAATTAATTGAATGTAAGTAAGACATATATATCCATAAAAAATTGTGCAAAATAGCACAATTCTCATTTTGTAGTTGCTTGCATTTCATTCATTTGAAATTATGTTTTAAATTTTTTATTTTTAGTAATTTTTTTTATTATTGTTAAAAAATTGATGTGTGAAGTAAATATTAAAAAAGTTATTTTTTGTTATTAAAAAAGTTCAGGTAAGGTTTGGAATATTTTTATCTTTATTAAATTTTTTTATTTAATAAATTTTTACTATTTTTAGTTTTTGAAATTTTAAATTTCTAGATTTTTCTAGACTATCAAATTTGAAAAATTAAAAAAATACTAAAAACAAATAAGTTCAGGAAAATATATATATATATATATATATAAAAATAAAAATACTTTTTAGCACTTGCTATGGTGGATTTTGTTAAAAAATAAAAAATCTTCACCTAAATCCCTTTTTTTTATTTTTTATTGCGGTTTATAAAATAAAAATAAAAATTTCTTCAACCCTTTTTTTTTTTTTTATTGCTTAACTAAAAAGTGAAATTTCTAGTAAAAATCAAACAAAAATATAGAGTACATATAAAATAAAATAATTTTAATGTTAATTAGTACACTGACAAATTGAATCAGGACTAAAATAGTTAATAAATCAAAACACCTAATCACATCACTATTTTTATTTTTTTTTACATCTTTTTGTAAACAACTTGTTAATTTTTAAATATAAGTTTCATATTTCATTCATTTATAAATTTGTATGATTACTTTGTCTCTCCCTCATGCTCCACATTATATTCTTTATTTTTGTTTGTTCTCGTTCATCTTCTCAACTATAAATCCTATTTTTGCTCCGGTGTAGAGTACTATCACCACTGTTTGTTTTGTCTTCCTTGATAACCTCTCGAGAGCGAGAGAGCTGCAAAGTCTTGTATAACAAGTTCCATAGCTAGGCTACCAAATCCAACTAATAGACAATCTTAAAATGGCCCTACATGAGATGAGAAAGATCGTAAAGTGACAGTAAATACCCTATTGTTAGAGAGATAATCCAAGAGATTCCTCTTATATATGTCATCTACCTACTTCCATGCAATATGCATGACTATCTTTTAACACGATTGATTACTTTTTTTTATGTGAAAAGTGAAGTGTCAAAAGACATGGTAGATCCAATAATTCAGCACAATTATTAACTTAAGTTATGCCCTCATATATTTCAAAAATAGGTCATCTTTTATGCCTATGATTTCAATTTATTTAGTTGATTAGTTGTGATACTTGTTCCTTCTAGATAAGCTAGAATTAATTGTCAAAATGAAAATACAAAAAAAAGAAATTATGTTTGAAAAAAGTGTAACTCTTCTATTTTAAATCAGATAAATCTTCAAAATTTTCATTTTTAAGCCCTCAATTGGAGTTTTAGTCTTAAATTTAAAATTAGGTACTCTTTTCTTCTTCTTCTTTTTTTTTCTTTTTTTTTTTTTTTTTTTTTTTTTTTGTATTTTGCCCTCTTTAACTCTTTATTTTTTGGGGCACTTATCAATTAGTCCTATTAATTAGACTTATTTACCTGCAGATTCTGACTGATAAATTTATTTATAAAAACAAGAGAGGCTAATGAATTTATTATTTGATAAATTTATCAATAGAACTTAATGGATAATAAGTCCCAAAAGTATGATATATCGATAATTTACCTTTAGTTTTTAGTGTATAATTGAAATTTCATTTCTATTGTCTTTTGACATTGTTTTGATAAAAGTGAACATAGTGAAATTTTGTGAACTTTTTTGTCACAATCCAAACACGCCCCTATAGGTTTAGTGTTGTAACTGGTCAGTAATCTTTGGATTACCAAAGGCCTCTGAACAGATTATGACATAATAAGGGGCTGCGAAAGCAAATATATAAAAACATACTAGTATTGAGTTGTGCTGACGTACATGGAACGGTATTTCAAAACTTTTATATACATGCACGTGACGTCATAATGCAGTAGTCTTACGTCACCCACTAATACAGATAAAACAAAAGTGGGACTTAACCCAAAGTACAGATAAACAAAAAACTTGTTCATATACCAAAAGAAATCAAGTCTTATACATTCACAAAACATGACCACATGACTTTCAGAATTTCCTCGGGAGGCACAAGGGTTGGCCAACAAAACAAGCTCCAGGCGATCATCATTGAGCCTAGTCACGCGCCTAATCACCTACATACATAATATAAATAGTGAGCGGAAGCCCAATGAATAATAACAAAGTGAAGGGTTTAAATTGAATGATGTCCCATATCAGATTCGAAAATCATAGTTCATATTAGAAACAGATTCATATTCTTATTCTTGTTCAACTCATATATACAGAAATCTGAGTTCATACTTAATCATACGTGGTACATCCATTAGCGCTAACAAAACAGATACAGATCAAATACAGAAAGATACAGAATAGATAGTGTTTATGTATAACCAGTTCTATAAAAGAACCTCCAGATCTGGGTAACAGATAACAGATATACTGAGCTCCATAGTTGAGCCTCCGGTACGGGTAATAGATAGCAGACATATTAAGTTCCAAGATGGAATCTCCGATATCGGGTAATAGCTAACAGATATCATATGATGCTAAGGATGCTAAGAATACATTTTAGAAATTGGACAATCATTCATTGTATAGAACATTACGTTTTAGAAAATAGATTTTATTTCATTATATAGAAAATAAATAAAGTTGAACATAGCTTTACTAAGGTATTACTCACAGTTGGCTCCGAAAGCAGACAGACAGAGCAAACAAATCAGATAACTTACGGCGCGTGACTTACACATAGATAATAGATACACAGATTGACAGACACACTTGGATAGTACTTAACTTATTATATTTCGCTCTTAGTGTGTTTATACATCTTATCATCATTATTATATCTTATTCGTGGCCTAGAAATGCCTAAGATGTAATTAGGACGCCAAAATGAGTTTCAAAACACTTGGTCAAATATGCTAAAAACAAGGGCCTAGCTCGAGCGCAACTTCCTTCGCTCAAGCGATCTACAAACTTTGGAAAAGTACTGGTTGTGTGATTTTTCCACTCGACGGTCGCTCGAGCATGAGACTAAAGTCTTTGCTCGAGCGCAACTCTTGTCGCTCGAGCGATCTGCAAAAATGGTTTAACTTCTGGGAGCATGCATTTTACGCTGAAGCCAACTTTTGGTCGCTCGAGCGGAAGCGCAAAATAAAAAGGGGTCGCTCGAGCGGTAAGGCAAAATTCTGGAATTTCTAGATTGTTGTTCAAGGTGCAAAACATGAGTTTAAAGCTTCAAACTTGTTCCTTTGGGCCTAAAACTCAAGAAAACATTTAGAAACTTGAAGGATATCATGAATTGGAGATCATTTCGCAAAATCAAGGCCCAAAAGCATGCCAATTATGTAAAATCAACCTTGGTATGTCATGAACACAACATGCATGAAGTGTCTTGGCTTCAAAGCTTCCAAACTTGTTCAAATGATGTATTAAAGTGCAAAATCACAATGAGCTCCTAAAATAGACCAAAAAAAAGTTCTTGCATGTAAGAATTTGTTGAAATCAAACCTCAAACTTCATGAATTATGCATGCAATGCATGACTTGATCTTAATTCTAGCTCTTAACCTCAATTCCCATGTTAAACACTTAAACCTCTTGAATCTATGCCTTAGTTGGCTTAATTACATAGCTAAGGGTTAAATTCTTACCTTAGATGCCTTAATTCCCTTGAAATTTAGCAAGTCTTGCTCAATACTACCAAGTTCTTTCAATTTCCCAAGCAATTCCTAGCTTGTTTTCACTTCTCTTCTTGCCTCTCTCTCTCTCTCTCTCTCTCTCTCTCATTTGTTTTGAGCTCAAAAGAAGAGGGAAAGAAGTGTAAAGTGTATACAAAGTGTTGGGGTGGCCTTATATAGGCTTCATTAGGGAATTAATTAAACTTAACTTAACTTAATCAAATTGACATTAATTATTCTAATTTAATTCGTTCCGAATCAAATTTCAATTAAACCTATCATAAATTCCTAAAAATTCCAAGTAACACATAAATCAAGTTAATTCCACATTCTATGGCCGATAAGACCTTCAATTCTCAGAACAAAGCAAAAACACAAACGAATATTTCTACGATAGACAGATAGAAACACAAATAATGCAACACATATGCAAGTAATTCAAAATTCCATCTTAATTACGGATTAGGCACTCTTAATCATGGTTTAACAGTTAATCATAGGTCGGGGTTGTTACATTTTTTTCCCCTTAAAATCTCATATTCATTATAGATCTTACTTGAAATATTTCAATGAGAAAATTATAAAATTATCTATTTAAAAAAAATGAAGATTTGTAAAATTATTTAATTTTAAAGTTTTCAAAAGATTCTAAAACTTTAAAACTACTTGTTAAAGTGTTGTTGTAGGTTAAGGGGTATTTTGGTTAGAATTTTGTTTTCTAAATATTAGAGGACTACAACTTGTAGTTTTTTTTTTTGTTTTGGTGTGTGTGTGTGTGCGTGTGTGCGTGCGCGCGCGTGTGTGCATGCACGCGCGCTTATCTACACTATTGTATAAAGTGCACAACGTTTTAGGTATAAATTTTATAAATATTCTATTTATACAAGATATTTCTCTTAGTATACGCCATTGCCTAATTTTGGACAACACCATTATACACTAACAACTAAGGATCGCAATTTGAAACCGGCCCAATGGGGACCCGACCCCCCGTCCCCGATAAGAGTGGTCTTTCCCCGAAAAATACCCCCGACGGGCCGGGGATGGTATTTAAAATTGAATCCCCGATCAAATTTGGGCCGGGAACGGGGATCACTTTCACAGCCCCGGACCCGGCCTGTCCCCGGTCCCGTTCCCCGCCCCGTTTCTCCCCGAAATAAAATCCCCATCCCTCTAATCTATTACATATCTCTGATCTATATTATCTCTGATCTGTCTCTCTTCTCTCACTCTCTCTCTCTCTCTCTCTTCTCTCCACAAACACCATGCAGTCGCCTCCTCCTTTCGTCACCTCCTCCTCCTCCAGGCCACTACCGCCTCTCTGTCGTTTCCTCATCCTCCTCCGTCGCCTCTCGCTGCCGTCTTTCTCCGCCAGGCCACTGTTAGATCTGAGAATATCCGTCGGCTCCTCCCTCCCGCCAGATCTGTCTATTTTATTTTATTTTTTTTGATGATGTTTTTGTTGATGAAAATGATGTTGTTGATGATCAATGATGTTGTTGATGATGATAAGCTAAACAGAGAGAGATAGTTGCAGGGATTTTTCGGGGTCGGGGAAACCCGATCCCCGTTGGGGGCAGGGCCGGGGGGTGAGGGGTTCCCCACCTGGGATCGGGGCCGGGGACAGGGAAGTTTGTAGTTTCGGGGATCGAGAACGGGGAGGGTGATCCCCGGCCCCACCCCGCCCCGTTGTCATTCCTACTAACAACTAGAGAAATTCTATTTCCATACGCCTTTTTATTTCTGTGCACACACTTAATGAAACAAAATTTTAATGAAAATTTTATCATGAAGCAAAATGACCATAATAGATATCAAAACACACACTAAATATGAAATCCTAGTTTTCTCTGTACATATTTTTTTAAAATAATAATTCCCAGCGTACATATTTCGAAAAAAAAAACTAAAATATAGTTTTTTCATTTTTTCCCACGTCCTCTATTGTCTTCCATTACTTGTTACACATTGTATTATCATCTATTGCTTACATAAAATACTCTGATATTGCTTTACTCTAAGTTTATATTCCATTGTTTAAGATTCTTCCTATTTCACATATTTTCTTAGCAACCAAACAAGAAAACACATACCTATTGATACAACAATCAACTAATCACTACAACAAAAAGCATTTTTGGTGACATTTTTTAGCAACCAAACAAAAATTTAGTTGCCAAAGATACATAATTGGCGACGAAATATTTATGGTTACTAAAAACTAAACTTTTGGCGATGAATTTATAATTTTGGTCGCTATTGAGTTTAGCGCCAAGTGAATTTTTTGCGCGGGAGCACTAAAACTTTTCAGTGACCAATTTAATTTATAGAGATGAAAATTTTAGTCGCCAATTGTATTTGTTTGGCGACAAACATTACTTGGTTGCCAAAATTTTGAATAATATTTATGGCAACCAAATTAATTTGGTTGTCAATAAATTATTTGTCTTTACCCTGATTTTTTATTGCCAAAAATAGTTGACTAAGTGAATAAACAAACAATTGATCATCACTTCTCCTTCTCATTTTTTCACTCCATTTGAAATGGCACAGCACAGATCCAAGTATGCTCTTCTTCTTCTTCTTCTTCTTCTTCTTCTTCTTCTTCTCTCTCTCTCTCTCTCTCTCTCTCTCTCTCTCTCTCTCTCTCTCTCCATCTCCCTCTCCCTCTCCCTCTCACTCTCACTCTC